TTATGTGGTGCTGAGGAATGAACCCAGGGCCTCATGCATGCAAGGCAAGCGCTCTACCACTGAGCCACCTTCCCAGCCCGAGAATTTTTTAATTCTGAGTTTTCCATTAATAGGACCCTGGTTGACTCCAAATAACTAAAACCTCAGAATGAATGGATGAGAAAGGGACCTATTACATAGTTTTTGAGTAGGCTAACAAACAAAAGTACACCTATTCTATATACTTACCTGTATCAGCAACATTCCTCATAGTATGTTTGAAAGCCCAGATAATAGAATCCAAAACAAGTTTAAACTGTGCAGGTGGAATAGCTAAGAAGGCTGGGAAACAATGAGAATTGACAGCCTGAAGTAGTAAAAAAAAGTTCGTTCTGTGTTCAGGATATTCTTCAAAATCCTAAAAAATGATAAGAACAAATATATAAATGGCTTACTCATGCTAAATGGGAGGAAAGAGGCAAATTTTAATTTAGTACAAACAAGAATCCCACAAGACAATCATTTCAAAGGTAAGCTCAAAACTTTTCAAGATGAAAGTACAATGTATTACACATGAATGACCAAATGGAATAAATGCAAAAAACAAAAGGCTAGCTGTCAATGGCTCATACCTTTAATCTTTTGTTGTTTTTTGGGGGGGGGTCTGGTCGTGGGGCCTGAACTCTGGGCCTCGGCACTGTCCCTCAGCTCTTCAGCTCAAGGCTAGCGCTCTACCACTCGAACCACAGCACCACTTCCAGCTTTTTTCTTTTTGCTTATGTGGTGCTGAGGCATCGAATCCAGGGCCTCATGCATGCAAGGCAAACGCTCTACCACTGAGCCACCTTGCCAGCCCCACACCTTTAATCTTAATCATCCAGGAAGCTGAGACCTGAGGATCCCAGTTCCAAGCCAGACGGGGCAGACAAATCCAAGACAAATCCAGTTCAACCCCATTAAAAAGTATGATTTAAGTGGCAGAGTGCCAGCTTTGATTAAAAAATCAAGACTCAGCAGTGACACACACACACACACACAAACCCAAACCCAAAAGTTACACAAAACTGAAGATTACTTCTCTATCTAGTATTTAATAACTGATAGTTAATATTAATCTTAACTTCAGTGCCCTAGTATTATAGTAATAAATTCAGATCATTTATACTTTAAAAGAGTAGAGGCTATACCATAGAATTGACCACTATACAAATCACATGTAAATCACTTACCTTATTTATCATATTCAATGTGCACTCAAAAACAGCATCAAATATTTGAGGTATTTCAGCTGTTATATGTCCCCCTAACTTGTTGACAATAATGGCCATAGTACTAAGTACTTCTGGTTCTCTAGCAGCTGGGACATTTCTCTGGTAATCAATGAGAACTGCATCCAACAGAGGAGGAACAAAATTTTCAGCTACCTGTTTAAAAATAAAATTGTCAAAGGTCTAAATTTCGTAATATAAACTAGGGGATTCTGTGCTTCTAAGATTTAGGTGGATAATCCTTAGTAAATGGGAAAAAATACGCTTTTATAAGGTTTTCCCAAGTTGAAGCTTTTAAAAAAATTTTTATTTGTTATTATAAAGGTGATGGAGGGGCTGGGAAGGTAGCTCAGTGGTAGAGCACTTGCCTTGCATGTATGAGGCAAAAAAAAGCTGGAAGTGATGCTATGGCTCAAGTGGTAGAGCATTGGCTTTGAGCTGAGGGACAGCACCCAGGCCCAGAATTCAGGTCCCACAAAACCAAAAAGAACAAAAAAAAAAAAAAGGAGATGGGGGGGGCTGGAAAGGTGGCTCGGTGGTAGAGCGCTTGCCTTGCAATGCATGAGGCCCTGGGTTTGATTCCCCAGCACCACATAAACAAAAAGAAAAAAGCCGGAATTGGCGCTGTGGTTTAAGTGGTAGAGCACTAGCCTTGAGCTGAAGAGCTGAGGAATAGCACCCAGGCCCAGAGTTCAGACCCCACAACCAGACCCCCAAAAAAAAGGAGATGGCAAGAGGGATTACAGTTACATATATTAGGTAAAAGAGTACATTTCTTAGCCATGTGCTGGTGACTCACACCTGTAATCCAAGTTATTCAGGAGGCTAAGAACTGAAGATTGTGATTCAAAGCAGTCCATAATGTTTTTGTTTTTGTTTCCTAGTCATGGGGCTTGAACACGATCAGCTCTTCAGCTCAAGGCGAGAGCTCTACAATTTGAGCCACAGCACCACTTTTGGCTTTCTGGTGGTCAACTGGAGTTAAGAGTCTCACTTTCCTGCTCCCGATGGCTTTGAACCTTGATCCTCAGATCTCAGCCTCCTGAGTAGCTAAGATTACAGGCATGAGTCACCAGCACCCAGCCCATAAGACTCTTATCTCTTAACTTACAACCAGAACCTGAAGTGGAGCTGTGGCTAGTGGTAGAGAGGTAGCCTTGAGCAAAATAGCTCAGGAATAGTGCCCTGGCCTTGAGTTCAACAGGAACAAAAAAAGGGAAAAAAAGAATACATTTTTTTAATAACAGGTCACCTTTTTTCCCTCACTTTCTCCGTTTTCCCCCATCCACAAATTGTTCATTTTCAAGTGTCTAGTGAGTACCACTGCTGCATTCATTCACTTTGTCCCTCTATTTCTATGCCCCCCTTTATCCTGCCCAAAGACAGATAAACAAGACAAAAAGAAATAAACTTTTGTTTCCATTTCCTGAAGTTCATTTCAATAACTATTATCTCTAAGTTGAAGCAGGAAAATACATACTATAATTGAGAAAGGTCACACACACAGCATAGTTCAAATACATTCTCACCTTAATTAAATCAAGAGGCTAAAATTAAGTGGCTCCAAGAAAAAGCAATTCCATACCAAGTAATAATATGTTAAATTATGACCAAAAGAAAAAAACAAGAGGATTGTTGACATGTTGTTCCGTTGTAAGAATAACTGTCAATTTCTTAAATGGATATTGTAAAGAACCAAGAATCCACCTAACCAGTGGACACATTCTTCATGACTTTTAATATAATGAATACTACTGGTAAAGTTTTAAAATTATTAATAGTTGTTGTCAGTCGTGGGGCTTTAACTCAAGAACTAGGTGCTGCCCTTGAGCTGTTTTTGCGCAAGGCTAGTGGTCTACCACTTTGAGCCACATTGCCACTTCTGGTGTTCTGGTAGTTAAGTGGACATAGAGTCTCTGAACTTTTTGCCAAGGCTGGCTTTGAAGCAGTCCTTCAGATCTTTTGAGCAGCTAGGCTTACAGGCATGAGCAAATTGGTAAAATGTTTATCAAACAAAAATAATGTCAAGCTAGGCGCCTCAGTAGCTCATGCCTATAATCCTAGCTCCTCAGAACGCTGAGATCTAAGGATTTTGATCCAAAGCCAGCCAAGACAAGGAAAGTCCATGAGACTCTGAAGCCCCAGTTAACCACGAGAAAACTGGAAGTGACATTTTGGCTCAAGTGGTAGAGTGCTTGCCTTGACCTGAAGAGTGCATGGACAGCACCCAGGCGGAGTTCAAGCCCCATGACCAACAACAACAACAAAAAAAATAACAATGTCATTCCTAAACCTTCTACAAAGAAAAATTTAAAATTATACAAGTTTGAGGTGAGGATGTAATTCCAATCATAGATCATGTACCTAGAACTTTTTTTTTTTTGCCAGTCTTGGGACCTGAACTCTGGGTCTGGGTGCTGTCCCTCAGGTCTTCAGCTTAAGGCTAGCTCTTCAGCTTAAGGCTAGAGCTCTACCACTTGAGCCCAGTACCACTTCCAGCTTTTTGTGCTTATGTGGTGCTAAGGAATGGAACCCAGGTATCATGCATGCAAGGCAAGCACTCTACCACTGAGCTACTTTCCGTGCTGCTGTAACTTTCAAGAGGTCATGGGTTTGGTTCTGGCACACTGTGGGACAAAATAGAAGTAAAAATCTTATTTCCCAACACCAATGACAATAGGATTGGATTTTTTTTCTAATTTCCCAAGGCTCAAGTTATGGCAAAGACATGAAAATAATACTTAATATTATTTAAATAATACTTAAGTGTATGGGCTGGGAAGGCGGCTCACTGGTAGAGTGATTGCCTTGCATGCATGAAGCTCTGGGTTCAATTCCTCAGCACCACATAAGCAGAAAAAGGCTGGAAGTGGAGCTGTGGCTCAAGTGGTAGACCGCTAGACTTAAGTAGAAGAGCTGAGGGACAGCGCTCAGGCCCAATTCAGGCTCTACGACCAACCAAAAAAAAGTTATAGTTTATGAAAACTATGTCCCTTTCTGGAATAAGAACAAAAGACTTAGAAAAAAAATTATTTTTTTGGGGGGGGAGGTCCGGTTGTGGGGCCTGAAATCTGGGCCTGGGTGCTGTCCCTCAGCTCTTCAGCTCAAGGCTAGCGCTCTACCACTTGAGCCACAGTGCCACTTCCGGCTTTTTTCTTTTTGCTTATGTGGTGCTGAGGAATCGAACCCAGGGCCTCAGGCATGAAGGCAAGCACTCTACCACTGAGCCACCTTCCCTTCCTAGAGGTTCTGTTTATGGTAAGTAATCACTCTACAATGAGTTCAGTTATACTCCGTCCTTCCTGTCCCAAGACTAATTTTTTTTTAAAGTCAATCCTGAGGCTTGCACTTTGGACCCAGGAGGTGTCCCTATCTTCAGCTCAAGGCAAGTGCTCTACCACTTGAACCACAGTGCCACTTCCAGTTTTCTGGTGGTTTATTGGATATAAGAGGCTCAGGGACTTAACTTGCCCTAGCTGGTTTCCAATCACAATCTTCAGATCTCAGCCTCCTGAGAAGCTAAGATTACAGGAATGAGCCACTGTCGCCCAGTCTAAGACTAACCTTTATTACAGTTGTTACACTTATTACAGCTGGTTAGAGGCTGCCTTGGATACCTGACATTTGGGAATTCCAGTTTTAAATGTTTAAGAATCACTGAAATTATGAGCTACATCAATGAAGACAGAACTGATGGTATATAGAATTCTATCGTTTTCAGAATCACCTACCATTAGCTTGGATAGCTGCAGAAATATTTTCACTGAGGCACTTATATACATTAAGCATATCTAAATAAATTCTTCCAAGCTGAATTACAAAGGGATGTCCAACAGCTTTGCAAGCTCTCACATTTGTTTTTAAGATGCTACCGAGCTGCTTGACTGTTTCTGGATCTTTCAGTATGTCCACATTCTGCAGGAGAAAAAAAAATACAATTTATACCATGAGAATTATCCATGTAATTATTAAGACAGAAACAATGAGCAGGGTGCTGGTGGCTCATGCCTGTAATCCTAGCTACTCAGGAGACTGAGATCTGAGGATCATGGTTCAAAGCAAGCTTGGGCAGGAAAGTCTGTGAGACTCTTATCTCCAATAAACCACTAGAAAACCGGAAGTGGCACTGTGGTTCAAGCAGTAGAGAGCTCGCCTTGAGCTGAAGAGCACAGGGACAGTGCCCAGGCCCTAAGTTCAAGCCCCACAACCGACCAAAAAAAGAATGCCATTTTTATCCCAAACTACTGTCCTACTTTCAGTACTAAATGATAAAATCAAATACGAAATCCACCTTTAAGGTTGGGTTGTAACTCAGTAGGAGAGCATGAGCTTTGCATGTAAATCCTAGCCATCAATCCTCAGTACTATAAACAAAGGAATGATACGTTCTAAGAACAGAATGATATATTATCATTTTAAGATCAAAATATGAAAAAAGAATCAACAAAACCTTCAATGTTTTAATTGTGCAAGATCACACATAAAAAGCACATATAAGCAGGGCGCTGGTGGCTCACGCCTGTAATCCTAGCTACTCAGGAGGCTGAGATCTGAGGATCACAGTTCAAAGCCATCATCCTTGGCAGAAAAGTCTGCGTGAGTTCAAGCCCCATGACCAAAAAAAAAGCACTTATGAATGAGGACATAATTTCACAAGTATTAAGATCATTCAGGCACTGGTAGTGGCTTATACATGCAATCCTAGCTGGTAAAGAGGTAGACAGTGGAACGCTCTTCACAAAATGTGAGATCATATCAAAAATTATGAGAAGCCGGGAATGTGGTTTAGTGGTAGAGTGCTTGCCTAACATATATGAGGCCCTGGGTTCAACTCCTCATTACCACATACACATAAAAAGTCGGAAAGTGGCACTGTGGCTAAAGTGGTAGAGTGCTAGCCTTGAGCAATATTAGCTCAGGGACAGTGCTCAGGCACTGAGTTCAAGCCCCAGGACTGAGGGGGAAAAAATTATTAAAATAAAAAGAGCTGAAGAAACATGCTTAACAGCATAGCTCATGGATAGCAAGAACAAAGCTGACAGCCAGCGTTGGTGACTCACACCTGTAATCTTAAGATACTCAGGAGACTGAGATCTGAGGATCACAGTTCAAAGCCAGCATGGACAATTAAGTCTGTGAGACTCTTATCTCCAACAAACCACTAAAAAACGGGAAGTGGCACTGTGGCTAAGTGTTAGAGCAATCGCCTTGAGCTGAAGAGTACCCAAGCCCCATGACCAACCACCACAACCACAACAACAAACTGAGCTCAAAACTCAATACCACTGGGAAAGGATGGGAAGGGGAATAAAAGGAGGAGGCAACAATGCTTGATAAGAAATGTACTCATGGTTGGGAAGGTAGCTCAGTGGTAGAGCGCTTGCCTTGCATGCATGAGGCCCTGGGTTCGATTCCTCAGCACCACATAAGCAGAAAAATAAAAAGCCAGAAGCGGCGCTGTGGCTTAAGTGGTAGAGTGCTAGCCTTGAGCTGAAGAGCTGAGGGACAGCACCCAGGCCTAGCGTTCAGGCCCCACGACCGGACCCCAAAAAAAAAAAAAAAGAAAAAAAGAAATGTACTCATTATCTTGCCCATGTAATTGTAACCCCTCTGTACACAATTAAAAAAAAAAAACCTCAATACCATAAAAAAATTCTTTTGAGCTCCAACAGTCCCACCAAACACATACAAACTCAAAATACTGAAATCATAACTACTATTCAACTTCTTTAGAACTTAATAAAAAAATAACTTACTTTGGTTGCCTGCTGGATTATACTATCCCACACTTGATTAGGGAGTAGCATGTATTTTTCTATCAAATGTTCTTGGACTGTTTGGTCTGTCTGTGCACCAATCATGTATCCCACAGCTTCATAAAATGTATGAACCTATTTTTAAAAGACATATTTTAACTTTCACACACACACACACACACACATATATATATATATATATACATCTTAAAATACTAAAATTGATGTAGGCTAAAAGCCTAATTAATAAACTTATCTAAGTTGTTGGCTCATTATTAAAATTTCTCCCAGAAACACTTGAATGGTACAACAATATGGCATTCTATTGCCATTAGTATATCTACCTTAATGCTAGCTTATGTATCACATACCTGCTGAGGCTGAAGATCACAAATTATAGTGTTAATGTTGTTTAAAATCTCATCAATAAACGGCATCACTTCTCCAACCTGAACCTGAACGAAATGCCTGCGGCATTTTTGAGCTATTTTGATGAAAGTATCACAAGCCATGTCCTGCACTCCATCATGGGTCTCTAACAAAACAAAAACGTATGTATTTTTTTTCTAAAAAATTTAACACAATTTAAAAAACAAAAATTGAAAGAAGAAATTTACCATGCATGAATTCAAACAGCTTGTTAACTACTGTCTTCAAAAACTTCCAGTGAGCTCTTAAAAATCTTGGATATTGACCTACTATGTACATGATATTTGATGCAATAATTGCTTTATTATCTTTGCCTCTTTTCTGTTCACATAATCCTAATAGATCCTGCAAAAGGAAACAAATTTAGGCTTTACATCATAAAAAATTTCTACCTAATGCTATTTCTTACATATTTGTCACATACCTTTATAACAGTAACAAGAAACCGTTTTTCATCCTCTTCATGCATTGCTCCACTAATGGAGCCTATTGCCCAACATAACGTATTCAAATTCTTCCAAGACCACTCTGTACCATTCACTTGATTGTGAAGTTTCTCAGTCATTATTCTTTCTGTATCTACATAATCCAGATGAGTAAGGTAAACTACAAAAAAGGAAAGATTCCAAATATTACCAAGCATAAACAATATGTCACAAAAACTTTTTTACTGAAGGTTAACAGTGTATTATTAATAAACATTGCTACTACAAGATTTAGGCAAGTATCACTAAGCCTAAGAAGTATTTTCACTTATGAATATGTGCACAATGGTACAGGTTAAATTAACAGTATTTTCTAACTTACCTAATGTCTCTCTCATATTCTTATACAAATTTATGGAATCTGTATCTTTCATGAATTCTCTCACTACTTCTCCCTGATCGTTTTCTACAACCAGTACTTCCTCTGGTTTAGCCATTCGACTAACCATCAATAAACGAACCTATTCATAAATAAAACAATCAAGAAAAATCTGTTAGACATTTGCAACTGCAGGATTCAGAGAAGATACTTAAGGTATACACTTATATTTTTACCATACTAAACCAAACTCATTCTCACAAAAATAAACTATTAAAAAACTTTTTGTATGTGTGCCAGTACTGATGTCTGAACTCCCAGACTCATGCTCTTGACTTTTATTTTTTACTCAAGACCAGTATTCTTCTTTTTTTTTTTTTGGGGGGGGGGGGGTCGTCTGTCATGGGGCTTGAACTCTGGGCCTGGGCGCTGTCCCTCAGCTCTTCAGCTCAAGGCGAGCGCTCTACCACTTGAGCCACAGCGCCACTTCCGGTTTTCTGGTGGTTTATTGGAGGTAGGAGTCTCACAGTCTTTCCTGCCCAGGCTGGCTTTGAACCTCCATCCTCAGATCTCAGCCTCCTGAGTAGCTAGGATTACAGGCGTGAGCCACCAGCGCCCGGCTTCAAGACCAGTATTCTACCCCATGTAGCCGACCTCTACTTTTGTTTTTGGTGCCCCTACCGAGGCATAATACGTGGCCTAGATCCTGTTCCTTAGCTTTTTCCTTCATGGCTGGTACTCTACCACTAGAGTCACTGCTTCACTTCTGGATCTTTGTTAATTGGAGTTAAGAGTCACATGGACTTTCTTGCTTGTGCTGGGTCTGAATGCAATTCTCAGACTTCAGCTTCTACATAAGCTAGAATTAGAAGTGCTAGCCAGTGGTGCCTGGCTAACTTCTGTATTTTGCTGGTTAATTGCAGAATTGCTACCCAGGTTGACTTTAATCCTCAGATCTCAACATCCTAAATTTTTAAAGAGTATAAGGCACTGCTACCCTGCTAAACCATCAAGGAAAATTTTAATGTAACTTTGCAACGCTTTTTTTTAAACCATATTTTACAGCAGTTTCCCATGTCTCATTCTCAGATTGATTCAATAGGTTGGCTGAGAGTCATTGTGATAATGATGCTGGCACAGGGACCATACCTTGAGATCTACAGCTCTTAAACTAGTGTACATATTCATCACTTGTTGAGAAGTTGCCTGGTACCTTTTACAGTTTATTAATTGAAAGAACATTAGTGAAAGCATTTTTACTTAGCTCAAAATTAAAGCAATAGAAAAATTAAACCACTTTTCTATTGTCACCTTTGATAACACGGGTAAATACAGCTGCCTCCTGGGAGGAACATCAAAATGCTGACTTCCAGAGAGCAATGGAGAAGCAGATGTAGAAAATGGGCTCTCTCTATAGAGTTCAGCTGCCAGATGATTCCAGTATTCAAGACAAATCTTAAAGATTTCAGTTTCTTCCACTTCAGATACCAACAACATATAATGAAGGGCCTACATATAAAATCAATGACATTAAGTAGTTGTTAACACACTGTAACCAATTCCAAGCTCCCTCTTACCATTCTATTCTTTTTTTTTTTTTTTGGGTCCAGTCGTGGGGCTTGTACTCTGGGCCTGGGCGCTGTCCCTCAGCTCTTCAGCTCAAGGCTAGTGCTCTACCACTTGAGCCACAACGCCACTTCTGGCTTTTTTCCTTTTGGTTATGTGGTGCTGAGGAATCGAACCCAGGGCCTCAGGCATGCAAGGCAAGCGCTCTACCACTGAGCCAACTTCCCAGTCCTTACCATTCTATTCTTGCTTGAGATAGCACGTTAATATGTAGCTCAAGATGACTTCAAATTAGCTATTTTCCTGCTATTCTACTAGGAGTACAGATGTGTACTACTATGCTGACCTTGCTTTTTGAGATATGGTAGGCAGGAACGACTCAAAACATTGTTTTTTTAAGGTAAAAATAACCTTATAAACCTATTTATTATTTTTTGTCAGTCATGGGCTTGAACTCTGGACCTTGGCGCTGTCCCTCAGCTCTTCAGCTCAAGGTAAGTACTCTACCACTTGTGCCACAGTACCACTTCTGTTTTTCTGGTGTCAACTGGAGATAAAAATCTCATGTCCTGCCGGGCGCAGGTAGCTCACGCCTGTAATCCTAGCTACTCAGGAGGCTGAGATATGAGGATCGTGGTTCAAAGCCAGCCCAGGCAGGAATTCCATGAGACTTTTATCTGCAATAAACCACCAGAAAACTGGAAGTGGTGCTGTGGCTCAAGCGGTAGAGCGCTTGCCTTGAGCTAAAGAGCTGAGGGATAGCGTCCAAGCCTGGAGTTCAAGCACCACAACCAACAAAACAAAAACAAAAAAAACCCAACTCATGTCCTTTCCTGCTGGGGCTGACTTTGAACTATGATCCTCAGATCTCAGTCTCCTAAGTAGCTAGGATTACAGGCGTAAACACCTGGCATTGAATCTAATTTTAAGACAATGTCTTACACTATGTGGCCCACGGTGGCTTTAAAATTTCTTTCTTCACACACTTACTGTTCACAGGAGTTTGTCACCAAGTCGTTAAAAATCTTAAGTTTGATTGTAAATGTTTAAACTTAGCTTTATAGAAACCACAAAAGCAAGTAATGGCTTATAATGCACAAGAAAAAGTAAGAACTCTCAAAGCTTTATACATCTTTGAAGGCACATGTTTAGAGCTGCTTTTATAATTTATCAATTTTCAGGTACCAAAAATCCACAAAGTTTACCTCCATGAGTGTTTCCCTGAGATTGAGTCTTTTCTCTATAAGTTGACCATGTTCTTTCAGAAAGGTGCAGAGAAATAAACTGAGATTTTGAATAAAGTTCTGTTCATCATCTTTTCCATTTGAGTATGCAAGTCGAATATTAGTATTTAAGGGAAGCATCTGTGAAGTTAAAATTCACTATTAGTTTCTATCATATAAACCTAACAAAAGAAATTATTTTAAGCTTTTAAGATTCCAAAATCGGTATTTTTTTTTTGGAGGAGGGGGTGAGTCCTGGGACTTGAACTCAGGGCCTGGGCAATGTCCCTGAGCATCTTTTCCTCAAGGATAGCACACTATCATTTCAGCCACTGCACCACTGCCAGCCTTTTCTGTTTATGTGGTTCTGAAGAGGCAAACCCAGGGCTTCAAGCACTACCAATAAGCCATTTCCAGCCCCCACCAAGTCTCTTATACCGATTTGTTTTATTACAACCTGGACTGATTCTTTCTCTCTCTTTTTCACATCACATAGGTAATGTGCCCACAAGGTCCAAGGGAGGCACATGTCACACAGGCATGTGAGGACCCAATCATCACACTCACATTTATAAACCTTTCAACTCCCTGATAAGTGACACTGAAAATGCAAAGTCAATCCACTGATTAAAAAATAGTAATATAGCATTAGAATTGTTTTTCCTAATCACTTCTGATAACTAGTCGTGCTGGGGTGGAATTTCTCAGACAAAATATCACCAATCTGAGGCTTCACTAGCAATTCAAAAAAGCACACTGAGGGGCAGTTCTCACATTTCTAATATATTTCAAAAAATTTTTGGAAGTTCTTAATAATTACAAATTTCATAAAAATAATCAGATTAGCCAGGCGCTGGTGGCTCACGCCTGTAATCCTAGCTACTCAGGAGGCTGAGATCTGAGGATGGCAGTTCAAAGCCAGCCCGGGCAGGAGAGACCGTGAGACTCCTATCTCCAATAAACCACCAGAAAACCGGAAATGGTGCTGTAGCTCAAGTGGTAGAGCGCTCGCCTTGAGCTGAAGAGCTAAGGGACAGCACCCAGGCCCAGAGTTCAAGCCCCACGACCAACCAAAAGAAAAAAAAAATAGTAATAATCAGATTATGGCCAATCTGTGCTAAAACAATGCAACCTGACCCCAACATTTTCAAAGGCACTAAGATTGTTGGGTCAATTTTCAGAATACTGGTATATTACCTGTTTTAGCTGCATCATTGTCAGTGTAAATAGTGTTACAAATTGTTCTTCATATTGGCTTACACTCACACCAGCAATCTCAGTGAGGCACTTTAGAGAAACATTTCGAAACATTGGAACATTCAGGAACTGTTTGCAAAAAAGGGCAAAAAGCATAAAATTAAATGACACAAAATACTTGAAGTTAACATAGGGGAAGTTGGTGCTATCAGAACACAAGGATACATAACACAGATGAGTGATATATTACATTTTGCACATGAACCCAGACACATACCTTTTTTGACTTTATAATCTACCAATGTATACTAAATGCCTTTGGGGAATTGTTATTGTTATTATAAAGATGTACAAAAGGGTTACAGCTATATTAGTCAGGTCGAGTACATTTCTTTTTGTAGAAGATCATGCTTTCCTTTGTTCTCGTCCCAGTTTTTCCCTCCCATCCCCAACCACAGCTGTATAGTTCATTTTCAACATAGTGTCTCATGAGTATCACTGCCGTATTAAATGTTCACCCTTTCTCACTCCATTTCTGTGCCCTCCTTACTCTCCCAAAGACAGACAGTAACAGTAACACAGAGAAAACTCTTGTTTCTATTTCCTGGAATTCACTTCAATATTGATTTATATGATCAGATGCACATGGGTACTCTGCCTTTGTATTCTACAGCTAAGAGTATTCTCCTTTATCTCACTGTGTGAAAATGAATTAGCTTTATTCTTTGTAGTAATGGGCATTGAATTCAAGACTTTAAGTAAGTGCTCTATTACTTGAACCATACCCCAAGTCCTTTTGTTTCTATCCTTTGTTGTTGTTTTTTTTTTGCCAGTCCTGCATCTAGAAAGTAAGAGCCTACATGCTGTCTCTGAACTTTATGTTTAAGACTAGCACTCTACTACTTGAGCCATAGTTCTACTTCTAGATTTTTTTCCCCATAATTGGAAATCAGTCTTATGAACTTCCCTACTAAGGTTAGAGTCCAACTGTGATCCTCAATCTCACTTTCCTGGGTAGCTAGGATTACAGTATGAAGCAACTGTGCCTAGCTTGTACTTTCTGTTGTTGTTTGTCAGTCCTGGGGTTTGAACTCAAGGGCCTGGAGCACTGTCCCTGAACCTCTTTTTACTCTAGCACTCTACCACTCTAAGCAACAATGCTACTTTCAGTTTTCTGGTAGACTGGCTCAGAATCATGATCCTCAGATCTGCCTCCTGAGTAGCTAGGATTATAAGCATGAGCTACCAGGACCCAGCATAGATCTAGAGATCCTCCTGCCCCTACACCTATCAAAGACCACCATCCAGCTACAATATGCTTTCTTCTGATGGTGTCCAATCATCTGAAAAGCAAAGTTACTTACAAACTTCTGCCTGACCTACTATATGACTTTCAAGAACATCATGAACTAGATCCAATACCTTGACTGCTTAAGATTTTAAAGTGTGTGTGTGTATGTGTGTGTGTGTGTGTGATGGGAAGGGATGGGGAAACAAAGGGGGAGGCTACAATGCTTGATGTACTTATTATCTTGCCCAGGTAATATAACCCCTCTGTACAGTATTTTCAAAATTAAAAAAAAAAAAAGACTTTAAAGCAGGATTGGTAAACAGGCATTAAGTTATGAATGGCAGTTGTGGGTGGCAATTTTGTAAGTATTAAAAACCCTAAATGGAGACTGTGTTCTTTGCCTCATATACAATATACATCTGAGGGAAGGTGGAGGGAAGCGCACAGAACCAGCGCAAAACAGGTGAAAATGTGCAGCAGTGGGGACCATTGACTGCACTGGACATTGATGAAAGCTAACCAAGTAACTCATGGGAGGAGATAGGAGGGAGGGAATAAGAGAATGAGGGAACAGATGATACCAAGCAAAAAGAAAGAAATGTACTTATCACCTGACATGTCAAGATAACCCCCACTGCATATCGCCTCTAAAACAACAAATAAAAAAAATGAGAAGTAGAACATGAGGCCTGGCTCAAGCAGAACACCAGCTGTGATAACCAAGTAAGAGGATAAGGTCTAGGTTCAAGTTCCAGTAACAGCATGATGAATGAGAGATGGGGTGGGGAAGGAGAGGAGGAAGTGATGCCACCTGTTATCCTAAACAAGGAGGCTGAGATAGGATCAACCTAGAATATCAAGGACCTCAAAAAACAACAAAACCCAAAACAACAAAATGACTTTATAAGTAAGTGAACATACCTTGAACCACAAAGTATTAAAAAGTTACAAAACTCACTTTTTATGTTGTTCAATAAGTACCTTATTCATTACATCTTTCAAGATAATACAACTGATAATAATATTTATTCAATGAGAAACAGTAACACAATTCCATAATGGAGTAATAGGTTTTGTGTTTGTTTTCTGCTTTTCTTTTTGCTTTGCCTAGGCTGAGCAAGTGCTTTGGCTTTCCTACTCTGAATTTTGAGACAGGGTGCTACTGAGTAGCTCAAGCTGGCACTGGACTAACTATACAGCTCAGACTGGCCTCAAAAATCACAGCTTCTCTGCCTCCTCAGTGATGGTATTACAGGTAGGTGCTACCATGCCTCAGGATTTTGAGGCTCATGACTAACAATTACTAGCTGCAACGCTGGAAAAGTCTTTTTGAGCAGTTTCTTCAAATTACCATTCTGAATGAAAGCAAACAGTTTCTAAGACAAAAGGATATTATTACTCTAGTGACAAAAAAAAACTTTAATAAATCCATTTTACCTTATAAATTAATGTGCTGATTAACTTGGTCTCAAAAATATATCCCAGTGGAATCCAGTTCAGAAATCTCAACAGTGTTTCCAAGGTTGCATGTACAAGTGGAGCATTTTGAGAATTTTCCTGGTAACAAAAACATGTTAATAATTACTTTCCATTAATTTCTCCTTGAGTGTGTGTGTGTGGGGGGGGGGGTGCCAGTCCTGAGTCTTTAAGTCAGGGCATGGGTGCATCTGCTACTAAGCATTTTATGCTTAAGGGCAGTGCTCCACAGTTTGAGTCACACCTCTTCTTCCAGCATTTTGGCAGTAGAATCTAACTGTATTTAAGTTTCATGGACTTTCCTGCTTGGGCTACCTTTGAGCCATTACCCTCAGATCTCAGTTTCATTAGAACCTAAGATTGCAGGCATGAGCCACCAAAGCCTGGCCAATAGTTAATAATCATAAAAGTGAAATTTAAAGAACTTACCATTACAAACTGACAAAGTTGAAATATTTGTGAGAATTCATTGCACATGCTAAAAAAACAACAAAAACACGTCAGGATGAGAAGATAGAAAAACACCCTAATTATGTACAATTCAATAAAAATAATAAATGCTGAGCTCAATGGTACATACATCTATGATCCTAGCACTTGAGGTGGAGTTCAAAGATAGCTTGGACTACATGGGAAGATTTTCTCAAAATCAAAACGAACGACACCCCTCCCCCAATACCAAACAACAAAAAGCCCAGTAAAAAACCTTGGCAATCTGGTCAATGAGGTGATTTCTAAAAGAACACATGTAAGGCATAATTAAAAGTCTACAAGCCATTAAAAATTACAATTAAGCATCAGGTGTGGTAGTATATGCATGTGGTAGTATATGTACTGAGGAGGCTGAGGAAAGAGGATCCTGAGTTTGAGGCCAACCTGAATTACTAAGAAAGATCTAGGTTAGCATGGTATACAGCAAGACTGTCTCAAAAATAGAAAACTCCAAAATCAAATTATAAACACTTTCTATTACCATTTCTTGAGATTAGAATTATATAGGTATACTCAACAACCATCAGCTACATTTGCTGTTTAAAGGTTTACCTATCAAGACCCTACATTTCATATCTTAACAGATATGTGAAGAAAATATGTTTCCTAACAGTGCTATTGTTTCAATAATTTAAATCAAGGTTGTCCCTTTAAGACATCAAAAAAAAAAAGCCTTCCCCAAAACTGTATTAAATTATTAAATGGTATTTAAAGTTACATGTGTACCCCTCCCTTATCTGCAGAGGATAAGCATAAAACCATGAATATTCTGAACCCTATAAATTTTTATCACATACACCACATACACATGCACTTTCTCATTCTAGTTATAGCAACTTACACACAGTAAAATTAACAACAAATAATAAAACAGAAAATTGTATTATCTCTTTCAAAATGTCTTATTGTATTCCCACCTTAAAAAAAAAAGCTGGGGGAGGGGGAGAGAGAAGGGGGAGGTGGGGAGGTGGAGAGGGAAGGGATGATAGGGGAAAAACAGAGGTAACAATGCTCAATAGGAAATGTATTCATTACCTTACTCATGTAACTGTAACCCCTCTGTACAGTATTTTTACAATAAAAAAGCATTAAGAAAAAGGTAGGCAAACATTCTACCACTAAGCCATATTCCCAGCCTTAAATAAATTACAGATAAAAAAGGTTGTGGTGTTCTTAATGACTGCAACAAGTAATATACCTACAACGCATGTAGATTACTTACTACTTAAGACAAAGTCTGGCACATCCATACTATATACGGGAACTATCAAGATTCAGGGAATTACAAACAAGATGACCATTACACACAAATCATTTTATGAGATCTTAACATTACACATACTTTTATATCTGTCATTTACATTTGGACTACTTTAGAACTATTTTTCAACTTGTAATTGAAAACACTGCTGAATACAGTTCACTAAATATTTATAATTCACTTCCAAATTACTTGAAATAACCTAAAAGTTTATGTTTTGAAATTTTAAAACACAATTATTACTTGCCTGTCTTTTAAATGCTTTGCTTTCACTTGAGTTATCTGTCCACTAGAAAAATCAAATACTTCTTCGCTCAAGAGTTTGAGAATCACCATATTATTTTGACAAAGACTTTCGCTGGTCCTACTTGCTCCAACAATGTCACTGATAAAAGTTGGCCAATGCTTAGGCCATTCTTGTTTAAGTATCTAAAATAAGACATGAAGTATTAATTTCCCTTCTCAAAAGCAGTTAAAAAAAGAAGCCTCAAAAGAAATTGCACGATACTGAAACACAGGACTAAACATTAACTACTTTCTATTTTCGTTTATTAAATGCCTATCTATATCATATACTAGGTAGAAAACAGAATAAAAATAGTCATATATATTTTTTGTGTGCCTGAATTATGCTTCTGTCTCACAATGGGTATTCTACAGTTTGATCCATACCTCTGTTTTTTTCTTTTCTTTTGGTGTGTGTGTGTGTGTGTGTGTGTGTGTGCGTGCGTGCGCGTGTGCTCACATGCACGCTGGTCCTGGAGCTTGAATTCAGGGCCTGACACTGTCTTTGAGCTTTTTAAATCAAGAGAAGCACTCCACCACTTGAACCACAGCTCTACTTCTGGCTTTTTGGTGGTTAATTGGAGAATGAGACTCGGCCTTTCCTGCCTACACTGACGTCAAACTGAGATCTTCAGTTCTCAGCCTCTTCGGTAGGTAATATTATGGGCATGAACCACTGGTGGCCAGCAATTGCCCTTTTTAAATGTTTAACTAATTATTGCTAGTTCTGGGGCTTGAACTGGACTTTGTCCCTGTCTTGAGTAAAAGTAGGATTGAAAAACCATCTGCTTACTAAAAACCTAATGGACCACACTAAATTTGTAAATTGTACTCTATTTGCAGCTATATTCTTTGGGGAAAACAAAAACTTGTGTCACATACTACAGGGAACTAATCAATATAAAAATTTAAATTTTAGACTGCACAGAATGTTAAAAGACAGTATAGAGATCAATTAGAATGATACAAAAAAGTCAAGGCAAATATGTAAATTAAGATTGAAAGAGGTAACAAGGAAAAATGCCTATGAGGAAAAGAGTCAAGAAGAATCCAAAGCCTCACAAAAACTTGACAATTCACATTAATACCATATTGATAGGTTTATAATACTTGACTATTCCTACCCAATACTAAGACTAGATGATCACTATTACAGTTGTTATTAAACTAACTACTCTTACTACTTCTACAACTTAATAGTCTACTTTATTTGATAAAGTAGGTTTAAAGACTGTGTTCAAATATTAAACATTATAGAAACATTCAATAATTCTTATGAGGAAGTTAAAAGGCTTACCTGGACAAGAATCATATTTAATTTCCCGATATACACCTTTTCTTTCTAAGGAGAAAAAAAATTGGATTAAATGATAGCCTAAAGTAGAGTTGCCTGAGAAACAGTGAGTGGAATACCACTATAAAAGTATATCTTTGGGCTGGGAAGGTGGCTCAGTGGCAGAGCGCTTGCCTTTCATGCCTGAGGCCCTGGGTTCAATTCCTCAGCACCACATAAGCAAAAAGAAAAAAAGCTGGAAGTGGTGCTGTGGCTCAAGTGGTAGAGCGCTAGCCTTGAGCTGATGAGCTGAGGGACAGTGCCCAGGCCCAGAGTTCAGGCCCCATACTGATAAAAAAATAAATAAATAAAAAAAAATAAAAGTACATCTTTGAGCCAGGTGCCAGTGGCTCACACATGTAATCCTAGCTACTCAAGAGGATCATAGTTTGAAGCTGGTCAGGGCAGAAAAGTCCATGTGAAACTCTTTATCTCTAACCACTCAAAAACCAGAAGTGGCACTGTGGCTCAAAGTAGAGTACTACCCTTGAGCAAAAGCACTCAGGGACAGTGGCTGGGCCCTGACTTCAAATCTCATTATTTATCTTTATGATTAATAAAAGTACTTACAAAACCTAAATGACCAGGCAATCTAAAAAGAAAAAAAAAAACTCATTAATTCTTACCTCTACACAAGTTGGGTCAGAAGATGTCTTGATAATGAGGCCAACAACATATTTTTTTATTCCTATTAAAAAAATTGTACATAATGTCATAACAAATATCAAAATAACTTATTCATGATAACCAAAGCTATGCTATACGAATTACCAGATAATTTATTTCCTTTACAGAAGTACATGAACTTGCTTGTGGAGAGAACTCAACAATATACTTTGAGTAAAATTTTGTAACCAGTATTTTAGCTGTTCCATCTTAAAGAAAAAAATTTTTTACTGCTAACTATGCAGTATTGGCATTATTTTTCCACTATAGAGGAATTTTGTATAGCCTTATTTTCCAACTTCATTATGATTTTTCAGAAATACTTTGTAATAAAAACCAAGAGTGTATTTTTTTTCTTCCAGTCCTGGGGCTTGAACTCTGGGCCTGGGCGCTGTCTTCTCTCAGCTCTTCAGCTCAAGGCTAGTGCCCTACCACTTGAGATACAGTGCCATTTCCGGTTTTTTTCTGCTTATGTAGTGCTAAGGAATACAACCCAAGGCTTCATGCATGCAAGGCAAGCACTCTACCACTGAGCCACCTTCTCAGCCCAAAAGTGTATTTTTTTTAATGTACATAATGCATTAAAAAAAACCCATAAAATCATTTTGAAACATGCTAATAGGTCTTCAGGACCTGGGAAAAAGCATATCAATTACTAAAATAATTAGGGTCAGCCATGCTATTCAGTAATACATTGTTTGGCTTAGCATGTGCAAAAACATACATTTCATTACAAACCTTGCCCAAAAGGCAAATTAATTTAGTATGTTTACTTTAAAACTTTCTTTGGTTCATTATTTGAACAATCTTAGTATGTAGTTGAGGACAACCCCCAAGTTTCCCAATGCTAAAATTATAAACATTGGCAAACAGTTCTGGATTCCATTAACTTCTCTGTCCCTGTTTTTTTTTGTTGTTGTTTGTTTTTTTTTCCCCCCTCATCTTCTTATTTTGGTGCCGATCCTGTGGCCTAACCTCAGTGTGCCTCATGCTATTGCTTGGCTTTTCCATTCAAGGCTATCACCTGAGTCTCACCTCCACTTCTGTGAATTTACTTGACAGAGGTAAGGGTCTCACAGACTTTCCTGCTCTGGAAAGCTTCGAACCTCATCTTCAGATCTCAGCCACCTACTGAGTAGCTAGGATTACAAAGCGTGGAGCCATTAGTGCCAGGTAACCCAGCTTCATAAATTACTATCATTAAAGCTCTTTTTGTCTAGTTTGTTTCTATGTCTTTGGGAGTGTAAGGGAGGGACAAAGTGTAAAGGAGGGACAAAGGGTAAACAGAAGCAGCAATGTTACTGGATAATATGTTGAAAACTATACAACTTGTGGGTAGGATGGGAGGGAAAAACTGGGAAGAGAGTGAGGGATGGGATGGCAGTGTCCAAAAGGAAATGAACTCTTTACCTGATTTATGTAACTGTAACTCCTGTTTTCAGCATTTTCAAATAGTTTTTAAAAGTTTTTCATAAAAGATGGGTCTAAAAAGGAGGAAATGTTCCTCTGAATTTTTTTTTTATGATGCCACCCTAGCGCTTGAACTCTGGACCTAGGTACTGTCCTTGAGCTTTTTCTTGCTCAAGGCCAGTACTTGACCACTTGAGCTACACTTCTGACTTTTTTGAGTGGTTAACTAGAGATAAAAAAAAAAAAAAACAACCTCATGGAGAGCTAGAAACCAGAAGTGGAGCTGTGGTTCAAAGTGGCAGAGTACTAGCCTTGACCAAAAAGAGCTTAAAGACAGCATCCAGAAGTTGGGCATTAGTGGCTCACACCTGTAATCCTAGCTACTCATGAGGCTGATCTGAGGATCAAGGTTCAAAGCCAGCCCAGGCAAGAGACTCTTATCTCTAACCACCAGAAAACCTGAAGTGGCACTGTGGCTCAAGTGGTAGAGGGCTAGCCTTGAGCTGAAGACCTGAGGGGTAGTATCCAGGCCCAGAGTTCAAGCTCCACAACTGACCAAAAAAAAAAGTTGAATTATATATACTATATATGTATCTTCAACTCTTAGCCAGGCAAAGCAATTAAAGCTTATGCCAATACACACAGATTACAAAGCAATTAATAATCATCCCTCAGGGCCGGATGGGGATGGCTCATGCCTATAATCCTAGCTACTAAGGAGGCTGAGATCTGCGGATCGATGTTCAAAGCCAGCCTGGGCAGGAAAGGGCAGGAAAGTCCTTGAGACTCTTATCTCCAATAAACCACTAGAAAACCGGAAGTGGCACTGTGGCTCAAGCTGTACAGTGCTAGCTTTGAGCTGAAGAGCTGAGGGATAGCGCCCAAGCCCAGAGTTCATGCCCCACAACGGACAAAATAAATAAATGAAAAATAATCATCCCTCAGGAATGCTTTGTAGATACTAGATATATGAAGACAGGATAAAAACACACAGTATTGAAACTTGTTATTTATAAAAAGGATTCATTAAATAAAAGTATATTCACTAAATAATTAAAAGTATATTAGGTTCCAAATTTCTCTGAAAGGAAAAGGTCCAACTCAAGGCATCAGGTTACATTATCAGCATCTTAACAATTCAGTGATATACACTGTGATTAAGTTTTCAACTAAACTAAGAACTGCTTCAGAAAAAAAAATTTATTCTGGGACAAATTATTAACAATGAAGTTGTGAGTTCCAATTCTACCTTGACAGTATCTAATCTCATCTACCACAGAAAACAGCCTTAAAACATTTTTTTTTGGGGGGGGGAGGGTCCGATCATGGGGCCTGAACTCTGAGCCTGGGCGCTGTCCCTCAGCTCTTCAGCTCAAGGCTAGCACTCTACCACTTGAGCCACAGCGCCACTTCTGTCTGGCTTTTTTCTGTTTGCCTATGTGGTACTGAGGAATTGAACCCAGGGCCTCATGCATGCAAGGCAAGCGCTCTACCACTGAGACACTTTCCCAGCCCAACTAAGACAGTTTTATCTGCTTGCTTTCCTTACACATCCAAGGAAAATCAAAATATCATTCCAACTCTTCACTAAATGGAATCGTTGTTGTAACCGCCAAATGGGACAGATAATTCTAAACTCCTGTTAGGGACTACTCTTCATAAAGCTCAACACACCTGGCTCAAGCATACCTATGATCCTAGCTACTCAGGAGGTTGAGGTCTGAGGATCAAGGTTTGAAGTTAGCATGTCTGTGAGACTCTTTCTTTTTTTTTTTGATCGGTCGTGGGTCTTGAACTCGGCTTGGGCCTGCACTCTTCAGCTCAAGGCGAGCACTCTACCACTTGAGCCACAGCGCCACTTCTGGTTTTCTAGTGGTTTATTGGAGAGTCTCAGGGACTTTCCTGCCTGGGCTGGCTTTGAACCGATCTTCAGATCTCAGCCTCTTGAGTAGCTAGGATTACAGGCATGAGCCACCAGCGCCTGGCTGTGGGATTCTTATCTCCAATTAACCACTACCAAAAAGACTAAAATAAAGCAAGTCTTGAGCAAAAAATCTCCAAAACACACTCACTCACACTCTCTCTCTCTCTCACTCACTCTCAGCCAGAAGTGGGAGTTGTGGCTCAAGTGGTACATGCCAGCTTTAAGCTAAGGGAAAGCACCAATACCCACATTAAACGAGCTATAAAAGTACAATATATTTGAACAGTACTTCGAAGGAAAAAATAAAACACCACATTCCTCTATAGGGTTGATGTGAAAGGATGTTCAACACTCAATCATTAAGGAAGAGGAAGGAGGAAGGAAGGAGGGAGGGAGGGAGGGAGGGAGGGAGGGAGGGAAGGAGGGAGAAAGGTAGGGAGAAAGGTAGGGAGAGAGTGAGAAGGAAAGAAGGGAGCGAGGGAGAGATTTCCTGATTTTTAATTTTATGAAATTTCTGGTTTTGAGTATGAGAAAAAAAGTGTGAAGGGGCTGGGAAGGTAGCTCAGTGGTAGAGTGTTTACCTTACATGCATGAGGGCCTGGGTTCGATTCCTCAGCACCACATAAGCAAAAAGAAAAATGCCGGAAGTGGTGCTGTAGCTCAAGTGGTAGAGCACTAGCCTTGAGCTGAAGAGCTGAGGGACAGCGCCCAGGCCCAGAGTTCAGGCCCCACGACCGGACCCAAAAAAAAAAAGGGAATGCAAAAACAAAAGGGAGGGGGAGGTTAGGAAAGTGGCTCAGTGGTAGAGTGCTTGCCTTGCATGCATGAGGCCCTGGGTTTGATTCCTCAGCATCACATAAGCAGAAAAAGCTGGAAGTAGTGCTGTGGCTCAAGTGGTAGAGCGCTCACCTTGAGCTGAAGAGCTGAGGAAAGCGCCCAGGTCCCACAACAGACCAAAAAAAAAAAAAAAAGAACACAACACAACACATACACACAAATCAAGACCAGACATGGTAGCACACACCTTAATCCCAGCAGGGAGGATGACATAGGTCTGAGGCCTACCCCAGGAAAAAATACAAGACCCTATTTTAAAAATAAAGTTGCCGGGCGCTCGTGGCTCACGCCTGTAATCCTAGCTACTCAGGAGGCTGAGATCTGAGGATCGCGGTTCAAAGCCAGCCCGGGCAGGAGAGACCATGAGACTCCTATCTCCAATAAACCACCAGAAAACCGGAAGTGGCGCTGTAGCTCAAGTGGTAGAGCGCTCTCCTTGAGCTGAAGAGCTGAGGGACAGCGCCCAGGCCCAGAGTTGGAGCCCCACGACCAACAAAATAAATAAATAAATAAAAATAAAAAATAAAGTTATATGGAGAAGTATAATGTATAGATCATGATCCAGGCCAAGATTAGGGACCTTATTCAAAAAACAACAAAGGCTAAAAGAACTGGGAGCATGGCTCAAGTTGTAGAGCATCTGCCTAACAAGCACAACGATCTGAACTCAAAAGCAAGTACCTCTCAAGCTGTATTTGTTTTAGGCAGAACTGGGGCTTGAACTCAAGGCCTTGCACTCGCTTGCTCAGCAGACTCTCGTCACTTAAATCATGCCTCCAGCTCTGCTTTTTGGTTCTTTGGGAGATGGATCCTCTTGGACCATGCAGGTCTCAAATCTTGATTCTCTAGAT